AATATATGCAACGTAAAATAATGTAAGACTTTAGAGTAAAAAGAACTCTTAAAGATTTAGTCAACAGTCATTAGTTTAAAATGACAAGTGAAAATTGACTTCTTAATGGATGAACTATACTTTACAATTTTTATCACGCTATGCACACTACGCAAGCTATCCAACTTCTGATTAATTTTATGTTGCCCCTTGATGTGGAACATCAATGACTTTATTTGAAGTTAACAAAAACTAGTAGTAGTAACATGACTTGTTTGTGTATATTCTCAAACTTATATATTTCTTTTTATGAAAATTATACCATTTTTCTAAATATTTCTAATAATAGAAAAACTGTGAACTCAATAAATTTGCATCAGGTCAATTATTCTAATACATAAATGGACTGACCTTCTACCTTCAAAATATTTTTAATAAATTTTTGTCATAGCAATAAAGCTTAGAATATGAATAAACATGCACACTTTTAAATATTTAAATATTACATATATTATTCAGCCATTTTTCAATGGTTAACAATTTCATATAGTTAATAGTACCACCTAACATAGTTAATAGAAAGGCACTTTATTTGCTAATATGTTTGGAAAGGCCAAAAATCATGAGTATGATTAGAGAATTGTATAAACCCCTGTCTTTAGTAATTCAATCTAAATAGTTTGTGTTATTTGAAGTAAATGAAGACATATTTGCTCTTTATGTGTAAAATATTTCAGCACAATTACAAGTTCTTGATTTACAATGAAGTGTAAAGGTTACTGCTATAACAGGAGGTTCATGCTTACCACATACCACAGTTATTCTAATAAATGACACCAGATTTCTAAAACAAATAATTATCTGTGAGTAAATTGCACTTTGGCTTGACATTGCCTCCCACAGAAGCTGGCATATCCCTTGCCAATCTCTTTCTTCTCCCTGATCTATCCCTTTTCAACAAACACATTTAACAGCTGTGGATACAAACAAGGCACATTTGGCAAAAGTAGGAACCAGATGCCAAAGTCTGAATGTATGTTCTATTCAAAGCATCAGGGCCTGTTGCTAACTCCTTGGTGTCACCTCTGTTGGCTCCTTTTCTTAATTGTATACTGGCAGGCAACAGAGGCGCATCTGGAGATTTTGTCGAGGTCATGTAGCTGTGGTCTGGTCTTGGCTACCTTGTGAGATTGTGACCATTTTGAGGTAGTTTCCTATTTCTAAGAATGTGTTAGTAGAAAATGATATGAAAACACTACACACACACACACACACACACACACACACACACACACACACACTGTTATGAAACATTAAAAGTACTCGTTGAAATAAAATTCCCAAATTTAAGAATTTCAAATTTTTGCCTGAGAGCAAAACACTGCTATCTGAAACAGTTAAAACACATCCTTGCAAAGTATATTTGAACATATATAAGGTACGAATTAATATTAAAATCTGCATGATAAATTATTTTCGCTACCTGGGCAGAGGATTAGCAGCCTGTCATAGCTCAGATTCTCTTCTGCCTGAAGCCAACTTGTATGCATGGAGTTATTTGGAATTTGAGCCCAGGGAGGAACAGAATGGTGGGGTGGGGGGGACAGGTACTAAAATAGGAAGGGTAGGAAATCCAGCAAAAAAGGAGGCAACTCCTGATTAGTACTAGATCCCACAGTGCTTTTTGGGGACCCTTCTGAAATATTTTTTCCAGAGATGCACATTTGAGGGAGGAAAGAGGGAAACATTGCTTTTCATTCCCCAGTGGCTAAGAATTATTTCCTGCTCTCCCATGCCACTTGGAAATTTTGGGTTGTGCATGTGTGAATGTTGACCAGATTACTGTCGTCTTCCTATTGTATATAAGAGAAGAAAGCAGTATTTTACGTGTCATGGGCTTATGTCAAGGCATTGTCAAATTACAACCAAAAGTTGATGGGTTCTGGCATCAAAGGTGGGACTTATGAGATTTGAAATGGTAAATAAACAGTCCCAAACACCCAGCTACCAATAAGAAGAAAAAAAAAAAAAAAGCTTCTATTTAATTTGGAAAGCCGTAGGCACTAGAAATCACACGGAAGTAATTGTTGTAAAAATGTTTATTTAAGATGTTATTATCAAAACACATTTAAAGCACCTTAATTTTGAAGACAACGTATTAAGAATTCTTAGCTCGTTATATATATTGTCACATCAATGCTCACAATAACTCTAAAAGTAGATATTCTTATCATTATGGTTTCATTTTATAGTTGAGGAAACTAAGAATACAGAAAAAAAGTAAGGCGGTTTTCCCAAGATCATTCAGATAGAGAAGCCCCAAACTGGAATTTGATTTTTTCTGAATGATGCACAAAATTCAGTCTCTGTTAGCAGAGACCCTTCTTCACCAGTGACTTAAAGATCTGTTCCTCAGCACAGATGAAATGTCTTGTTCGTTCCACTGGATAGATGGTCTTCTGAAGTTGCTCCACTCACAAATGCCTAATGCTGGCCATACATGGTGCTCATGCTTCTCCTTCCTTTCGTCTTTCCCCAGCTCAGGTGACCTTCCAGTAGTGTCTCCTAGCTTCTCCCCTCAGCATCATCCCCCCACCAGCAGGCACCCATTCATGTGGTTAGTTTTTTATGGTTTTCACAAAAAGAATTGGCAAATAAACCATCTCAAAACCAAACAAAAAAGATGAAATATTCATTTCTCTTAACGTTATTGAAATAACAATCTATTCTTCAAAGTAATGATGGGTGCTGTTGACTTACTGGAAAAGGAAAAATGAAGGAAAAACAGACAAAAATAAAGGAACTAAATAATCAATATTATTATCTACCATCACTTTATATGTGGAATAATCGATTTCTACAAACTGTTTTTTAGAGTTTTGTTAAATTTAGGTTTAGAAACAAGAAAAGAGCAAGGGTGAGTTAAATGTGCATTGGATAGCATAGATAAGTTGATCTATCTAGTGTGGTAGCACATAGTATAAATTAAAATGAGGATATACACAGAGGTATATGGAAGAAAGCTAACAGTTATCTTCAATCTCACCTAGAGGAAGAATTTGCATTTTATAGACAGAAGCAAAATCAATCTAAGTCCTCAAAGAGGAGTGTGGGAGCATATAACATTTGAAAAAGAAAATCCTAACAGCAATGTTAGAGTTTGGTGTGAATTGAAAAATCAAAAATCAAATGACTGAAATAAGAGAAACAACATAGCTGATTTCTGTAAAGTGAAATATAAGTTTGTAGGGATACAGATTTATTAAAGACAAAATTGCCAAGATTCATTAATGGGAAAAGTTGTGGAATACATGGATATATGTGATTTTAAGTCACATATGAGAGAAACAAGACTTACTTAGAGTGATAGAGATATTAGATAGGACTGAGAATTTCAAAGAAAATATGTGGTGCACACTAATTTATTATTTTATTTATTTAAATTTGTTTTGCTATATAAGTCAATCCATTTTGGATTTGTGAATGAATCAGCAAAAATGTGTTGATGAGTAATATAAATGAATGACTCTCAGAAGACAGGAGAGAATATTGTACATTATCAAACCCAGAAAAAGAAGGAAATAAAGAGTAAGGGAAAGAAAGAAAGAAAGAAAGAAAGAAAGAAAGAAAGAAAGAGAATACAAATGGCTGATCCCAGTAGAAAAATAAATATAAAAAGAGTTTAAGACAGAATTGAGCATACTACAAGCCTTCAGATGTTTTTCAAGTTAATGATTAAAGAAAAAAAAAAAAGTAACAGCGAAAGAGACGTAAGGTAGCCAAAAATAGAATAGGAGAATCAGAGATATTATCAATATAGAAAAAATAGTGGCATTGGCATCCAATCCTGCAAAAAATCCAAAAATATATATACGAAAAAAAAACCTTAGTGTGAAGTAACTTGACATCATAGAATGATTCCAGTGGCACAGAAAGAAAGAACACTAGAATGCAAGAGATTGGCAGGTATACAGAAAAATACAATAGAAAGCTATATCGAGTTAATTTTACACTAACATAGGAAATGTGTTTTACCTGATTCATCTTTTAATCTCTCAAAATTCATTGTAGAGATACTTGAATAAAGCAAATTCTTACGTGACACAAAATGTTGTTACTGAAACTTTATAAAGTGAGCAAAATAAATGAAACATGTAGTTGTACTTCTGAGAGCTGGCCATAAAATATTAACACACTATGAGGCAAAGAAAATACCTCAATAAGATTGATATATTAAAATATATAACTGTGTAACAGATTAAGGAATTGTAGAAGTTTTCCAGATAAACATGTAAAGCCCTTTAATTGTAGACTTCAAAATTTTAATTTGGCCAATGAATATAAGATACATAATTACATATGCAGTCCATTTTGCTAAGTAACAGGACTCCAAGCATTTGAGTACATTTTTGTCTAGTGAAAGGATTAACAAACTGACAGCTATTCTGCCTTCTATGAGTTGGAAAAATGGTACTGATGTTCTAAGACATACATCTTTGTTGTTGTTGTTCAGTCAGAACTTAAAATATACTAAGAATTCCAGGCCTCTGAGAAGGTTATTGAGAAAGCAGAAGATACTATTTTGACATATGAAGCAACTAATAGAAATCTCTATTCTATACTGACATTCGGGTTTATTAACATACTAATGAGGGAAGCAATATATTGTCATTTCTACTTTACAGTCATGAAGGAACTATTTTAAATATGAAGCTACATATTATTGATTGGGAAACTTAATATATGAAAATTAAAGATGTTGTTTCATGTAAAAAACTACATGTTCATCAGTTCAAACCAATGATACTTTTAATATGGTTTAAGTTTCATTTTATTAAACACGTAGGTATTATGCTTGAGAAGGGTGGTGCTCAGAAAAAATATGTTAAAAACTTTGCTTAAGATTTGAATTTTAATTATGAAGTGCCCTTGTTCCTTTAAAATGTGCATTTATTTTAACACACACAACAGACCAATGTCCACTGGTTGAATCATTTTTTTTTTGTATTTTAATGATTAAGCTGTAGGTGGTTTCAAGCAATATTTTTGCAATTTTAAAGTCGAAAACTTTTACATTATGAATACTAAATGGTCAAGAACTAAACACGAAGGGATGAAAAAAGGAGTAGCAGATGGGAAGGATGTGAAGCCAACCATACTTAAGGAGCTGAAGCCAATTAGAAAGGTATCACCGAAAGCTATTCCCTAGCCAACCTAAAATGGAGAGCAAGTATAATAATAAAATGCCATGGTTGATAGTTCCTAAGGCCTGTGGAATGTCAAGAAGCAGTAAGAGTGCAATGTTAGCACCTTAATAAGCAATTTATGAGTAATTCAATGCAAGACTGTTTCTGTTTTTGGATTCTAGATTGAGCACTGGATGAAATGGAAAACAGTTGGGCAATGCTATTAATCTGTGCACTAACCACATGTTCAGATAGCTTCTGTGGGGCTGATAATTGGCAACAGGTTAAAAATGGAAGATCATTACATGTTAAGGATTTAGAAAATGTAATGGTGTGTTCCTCCAGAGAAAGGAAAAAAATGAACCTGTGGAAAAACTAAGGATTGCTGAACAAGCAGCAAATCATTTCATTATTAGTTTGCTGTGGTAGATTTCAGATTTGTATGAAAAATTAAAGAATCAAATATATAATTATGAACTTTACAAGCTACTTGGAAGGAAAGGAAATATTTTGCATCTAAGAAAAACCTGTAAAACACATTTCAAATAATTTCTCAGTAGTTGTGATGTAAATGAGTTCATACATTGTTTGGGTTTGAAATATGCATAATGAGATTTGCTTTCAGTTTGTGTTCTAAAGCATTTTTGAGATGATATGATAGCTTATATGATAATTTTAGTTATGCAGTATGGCTGATCTCATTGTTTAAGAAACTCAGTCTTTGTAAAGAAGTGGAGTTATAAAATATTTCTCTCTATTAATTATTTGAAATAATTTTAGCATATGTAATATAAAAGTATTCACTTTAAGTTCTTCTGAGGAAAATCACTGTAAAACTATACATTATTCAAACTGGTTGCTCATCAGATGCTTTGAAGTATATTTTTTCAAACTAAAATAACTATACATTCGTATTCATCTACATAGATTGAACATTCATATGTGGAGATAAAACAATGTAATTGAAATTTAAACATTATGACTGAAAAACTTTGGGGAGAGTAAATTAGGAAAACATGTTCTGCCTTCTTTGACTTAATATATACTAAACTTACAATATATTAACTAAAGATTCTTTTGCAGTGGAAAGCTTACTTGTATATGAAGATTTTAAAAACTCTGTGTTTACCTGGACTGGGCACTCATTTCACATAGAGAGCAAAAGTAAGTTAATCACAAATGAATGTTAATTTTAAGACTAGAACCTAGTCAATACTTTTAGGTTAATAAAGAACTGCATATATAAAGATTCTGTATTAGAATGAGAA